GCGACACATGCTCTCCAGTTCATGACATTGCTCTCCACTCTCTATTGTCTCACCCTAACCTGCTTTCTAGCCCCTGTAGACACGTGAGGGTTTGCTATTGTTGCTGTTTATTTGTTTTGAGACAGGGTCTCACTCTGTTGCTGAGGCTGGGGTGCAGTGGTATGAGCATGGCTCACTGTAGCCGTGGCCTCCTGGGCTCAAGTGATCCTCTGGCCTCAGTCTCCCAAGTAGCTGGGATTATAGGCACATGCCACCATGCCTGGCTAATTAAAAAAATTTTTTTGTAGAGACAGCGTCTCACTACATTGCCCAGGCTGGTCTCAAACTCCTGGGTTCAAACAATCCTCCTGCCTCAGCCTCCCAGAATGCTGGGATTACAGGTGTGAGCCATTGTGCCTGGCATGACATTTGAGTTTTTGATCCATGCTGATGACATGACAACGGGAAGGCACTGAAGGGTTGTTTTGTTTTTGTTTTTTTTGAGACAGAGTCTCGCTCTGTTTCCCAGGCATGATCTTGGCTCATTGCAACCTCTGCCTCTCAGGTTCAAGTGATTGTCCCACCTCAGCCTCCCAAGTAGCTGAGATTCCAGGTGCCCACCACGATGCCAGGCTAATTTTTGTATTTTTAGTAGAGATGGGGGTTTCACCATGTTGGCCAGGCTGGTCTTGAACTGCTGACGTCAAGTGATCCTCCTGCCTTGGGCTCCCAAAGTGCTGGGATTACAGGCATGAGCCACTGTGCCAGGCCCATTGAAGGGTTTTGCACAGTGGAGGAAATGATGAGAGTTGAGCAGTGAGTAATGTATTAGCAGGGGGTGACTCTGAGGCAGGTGTAGTCAAATTCTATTATTCAATCTGCCCAGACCATGAACTCCATCTTTTGGGAAATGCATCTTTCTCTGATCGTATGGTTCTGATGGCACTGCCATCTCCTGGTATGTCCCACTTCCCTATTCACTGACAATGATTGGTTAAAGAGTGGCACCTGGTTTAAGTTGGGCCAGTCACAGCACCTGGCTCTCCAGCCACAGATGATTGGACCAGGGTCAGGAACTTACCCATGTTGGGCCAATCGAAGTTCTTCCCTAAAATTTTGTCCTTCAGACCAGAAGCAGAAATCCTCAGTCTCTGGTGGAGCGGGTGAGCTGTGAGTGGTGAGCACTGCTGCAGCCATGTGTCTAGCTTTGAGGAGGAAAGCTCGCACACAGAGAAGTGATAGGATTGGGAGGAGAGTCCTGGCAACATTCAAGTGTCTGTGCTCACCACTTCAGTGCCTTTTCTGAGCCTGGTTGTCCAGCTTTCCAATCAGTTCTGGGAGCTCCCCATTCCTTCCTGATAAATTCCTTTGCTGTGTCTGTTAGCCTGAGTTTATTTATGTTTTGTAATTTGCAACTGAGAACACTGGTGATAACCAGGAGCTTTGAGGCAGTTCCAGGAGGGCTACTTCTCACCCGTCAGGAAGGAGCCAAGACAGGGTTTATTCTCAAATGCAGAGCAGGAAAGAGATAGCGCTATTCCCACTGGAAAGTGCATTATCCTGTCAGGCAGGTATCCCTCCCTGCCACTGACTTCCTCCAGAAACCATTAAGTAAATCTCTATGCTTTTCTGAGCCTCCATTTTCCTATCTGTAAAACAGGACCTGGGAAAGAATGGTGATTCTTAAACTGTATTCTGCAACACCCTGTGATTTTGTGGAGGGATCACTGCTTAAGAAGGGTGTCTTGTGGCTGGGTGGCTTGTGGAGAGGCCTAGTAGGAATGACGCTGAGTCCCTCTCCCCTGCTTCAAGCAAAGCCACCCCCTCTCCCTCATCTGTTTTATACATTGCCTTTCTGTGAAAGGTCTTGGGTAAGAAGGGTGGACAGCTTGAGAAGTTTGAAAACCCCTGGATGAGGTGTCTTGGAGGAACTTTCCAGTTGTAATAGTTCATGATTTTATGGATTCCAGTAGATAGCAGAATGCCTTTCACATTGATAATAACAAAACTTTGTTTTGTTTTTGAGTCAGTCTCCCTGTCGCCTAGGCTACAGTGCAGTGGTATGATCTCAGCTCACTGCAACCTCCACTTCCCGGATTCAAAAGATTCTCCTGCTCCAGCCTCCTGAGTAGCCATACAATGGCCATATCACATTTCCTCATTTGTGAAATGGAGGGAAAAAACAGAACTAACCTTGTAGGATTACTAAGGGGATTAAAAATGCAGACGAACCAAATTACATTATATTCTTCCAACCTTGACACTTTATTATTTATTAGCTCCACCTGTTGGGACTCTACTCATGTTCTAGTTAGGAAATAATGGCTGCCAATTATAAAAATCACAACTCGGCCGGGCGCGGTGGCTCACGCCTGTAATCCCAGCACTTTGGGAGGCCGAGGCGGGTGGATCACGAGGTCAAGAGATCGAGATCATCCTGGTCAACATGGTGAAACCCCGTCTCTACTAAAACTACAAAAAATTAGCTGGGCATGGTGGCGCGTGCCTGTAATCCCAGCTACTCAGGAGGCTGAGGCAGGAGAAT